TGTATGCATGTGTTTTAAATAAGGATTAGAGAGTCCATCTTCTCAGGCCTAGAATACCCAAGAAACTCCATCCGGGCTGTCTGTATTTGAAGGATAGTTTCATCATTTAATGTCCACCAAATAGGATAAATTACATCTCTCAGTTACCTCAATTACATGGGGCATATACTATTAGATTACTTATAATTGGCTATAACTTTGAAGTGAATCACTGCTAAATAATCAAAGCAATATCTAATACTTAATACACTGACAATATAATTTCATTGAATGGATGCATAAACTCTCAACAGTCACTCAATATAGAGTGCTTAGATACCCATAGTCAGGAAGAGCCTGGCTGATCAGAAACACATTCCCTACCCTGACTCATTTTCCCAGAAGTGAGATCCTTGGACCTCATCATCAGCACCACCTGGGAACTTGGTGGACATGTCAGTTCTTAGACTGCATCCTACATCTCTTGAATCCACATCAGATTAGGCGCAGACTTGGTTTGAGGAAAATTCTGCTCCCTCCAGAAAGAGGTACTAACACACGGCATGTCCCACAGAGTGGGGACTATTTTGGGTATCCTTTTTAGATATTGTCTCAATCACACTTACCCTTCCTTAGCAAATGAGAGTGCAGAAAATATCTCCCTAACAGAGTATCATATGAGAAGTGAACCACATGTCCATGCTGGTGTCACTGTATGTGGATTTTCCTTTCTAGCTCTTGCCAGCCCCAGCAATTGATTTCGGTATTGGATCTCAGTTTTCCCTTCATCTTCCCTCCTTACCATCCTCCCATAGTTTCTTAAAAATGCCTGAGTTTTGATACAGAGGGTTTCTGGTGTCCAGAGGATGGTTCAAGTATTAACAAGGCCTGCCGTTTTCATACTTCAGGATTTGGGTATTTGGAAATGCTCTAGAACCTTGGTTTTCACCATGACATTTACAGAGCAGCTAAGCTTGCCCACAGACAAGCATCTAGGGCTTAGAAGGCTGTAATGAGGCTGGATAGGCTCCAGCAATTGGCAAACACTGTGACACATTAAATGTCATGACAGGCTCTGTTAGGTTTTAAATTAAAAAATTGCTGGCAGTATAAAAAAGTTACAGACTTTGCCTAAAGAAGAAAACACTTACCACCATCTGTTTTTCTCTGCTCTTTATCCATCAACTACTTTTCTAAGGACCAGAAAACCTTCCCTTGCACCCCTATCTCAACCCAGCCCCCAGAACCACTTACACACCATTGAGCAGCATCCAGAGCCATAGAGCTTATCAAGCTCGGGCATTTGTTTCCAGAATGCTCTTTCCTACTAGAAAGAATGTGGCATCAGTACTGATTGAAAGCAGATGTAACCCTACTCTGATGCCCATCTTCCCAAGATCCTCCATGCTTCCTTTTTGACCACATGGCCTCAATCCCTCTGAGATCAGAGCCTTAGAACTAGAAAAAAGCTTTCCATTGGTGCATTGGTGCTCTTCTTTCCTGTTCCAGTTCAGGAGAGCTTCCTTCCTTCCTTCCTCCTTGCTTCCTTTATTCCTTCCTTTCTTTCCTTAATGATTCCGTCAAGGAAATTAATCCAGATAGATCATCATTTTTGTTGGTATTCAGCCAAATTCTTCCTGCTGGCATACTGCAGGCATGCAGTTAGGACACCACAGCCTCCCACACAAGTGTGAGCATGTGGGCACCTGCATGGGGTGATCAGAGAGGATCCACCTCTCCTATTCCATTTGCTAACATGTAGGTCAGACAAAGGTGGGGTCTTGAATATGTCATGAAATGACTCTCACCTAATAGGCCTGAGAGCAGGAGACTGCCAAAAACTCCAGGGCTCACAGAGGGAGACTTGCTGGGGCTAGAGAACTTGAATTTTAAGAGGAGCGAAGGCCTTGATCTTACTTCATTGTCCTACTTTATTAGGTTACTGGTTATATCATAATCACGAGAGGGGGAAAAAAAGAAAACATGGCAAACAAAAAGTTCTTGGTTGTTAGTACATAGAATTAAGAATGTCTTTGTCCATTTGCAGTACTATAACAAAATACTTGAAACTGGGAAATTTATAAAGAACAGACATTGATTTTTCCTTAGAGTTATAGAGGCTTAGATGTCTTAGATGAAGGCACCAGAATCTGGTATGCCCAAGCTCCTGTACCATCGTATGCTAGAAGGAAACCGAACAAAGCAAGAGGAAGAAGGGACTGAATTATTTTATGGTGACATCAGTGCCACTCTTGCTGGAGCAAGCAGTTCTTAAAGTCCCACCTGTTAATCCTGTTCAAATGAAAGTGATTTCAATGTGAGTTTTTAAGGGAGCAAACAATGAAACCCTCAGAGGACCTCCTAGGAGGTCCATCTTCTCCAACTTTTCCAACTCTGGACCTTTCTACCACCCTTCTCCATTGATAGACTTTGTGGTGACAATTAAGAAACAACAGTGTCATCTGAAGGGCCCTGTCCTGATCATACTAGCTCTACTGTACTTCAGCAACACCCTGACTCTTCTGATTAAGTTTCCTAATCTAAGACACCCATCATAGAGCTCTTCAAGGGGTAAATGAAAAGCAGATGCAATGGTGCTTCAGTACCTACCATGTGTGTCTTTCCCTCATTCCTGATAACATGACGACATACTTGCCATTCAGAGACTCTGGCATACAATCAGAGGACTGCTCCACCAGCATAAATGTTTAAAAGATGAAATTCTTTGTGTGTAAATTCGTTTGCACATGTACAAGCATAAGTGTGATTGTTCCTGTATGTGCAGGTGTACACGTGTGTGGGAGACATGCCTGAAACCAACTCCAGCTCTCTATTTTTCATCAGATACCATCTACCTTGTTTGTAAGATAGGGTCTCTTGCCTCTTGCTAGCCTGGAACTCACTGATTTGCCTAGGATGCTCAGTCAAAATATCTGCCTGTATCTGCATCACCAGTGCTGGGATTACAATTACACGTCATTACGACTAGTTTATAATTTTTTAATGTATGTGTGCGCACCTGTGTGTGTGTGTGTGCACACGTGTGTGTGTGTGTGTGTGTGTGTGTGTGTGTGTGTGACAACAATGCATATGTTAAAGAAAGGACTTTGTGAAGTTGGCTCTCATTCCACTTTCCATGGGTTTTAAGGATGGAACTTGGGTTGCCAGTCTTGCACATTAAGTGTGTCTTCACTCACTGAACGTCCTGATGACCCTCACTGGCTCTTTTTATATGGATTTTGGAAACTGAACTCAGGTCTGCAGGCTTGCAAGGCAATTACTATGTGAGCCATTCCTAAGCCCTGAAAAGATGAATTCTAATGGTGGATTCAGGCTTCAGAAAAAAAGTCCAAGAAGAGGTGAGGGAATGGAGTTGCAGCAGCCAACCTCAAATTACTTTTTAATTCTTTGTACTTTTTAATAGGGAGTAGACACAGTAACTTTTTATAGGAGAGGGAGAACACACAGGATTTCCAAGGGAGATCGGCTAATGCGTTATTGCTATCTTGTCACCTGTCTACTCCTGGAAGGCAGCTCTCACAATCCCCAAAAGAACCCAGCCCACAGGCACTTACAGGAGCCAGTCCACCGCCACCAGCAGACTGATATCTTCTGTCGGCAGGCCCACGGCTGTTAGAATGAGAAGCATGGTGACCAACCCGGCGCTGGGAATACTGGCTGCACCAATGCTTGCCAGGGTGGCTGTGAGGCTGCAAGGACAGAGAAGACCAGGTCACAGAAGAGAAAGAGTCTTGGCAAACTTATTTTGGCAATCTCAAAGATAAGAAAAAAAATCTTCCAAATTTTGTATGACCACTAAAAAATCTCTCCTTTTCTTTCTCCAGGGAATAAAGAAATGTGAAATACTAATATCCAAGAACAGAGCTCAACAATAACGGAAGCTTATAAATTCATGGATTGGAGTCCTGTCCCCATTGTGGTACCCAATTAGCCTAAGTACTAAGTATTAAGGCAGTTGAAGTTCTAAAAGCAGGCATGGAAATATTAAAGATGAAGAAATAAATCACTGTGCTGTGGGAACACAACTGCATTCGTCCCTGTTTATGCCTCCATGTGTCTGTGAGTGCCACAGTTCTTTGGACTGTGTGGCAAGAGTCTAAGGAGGTCACTGCCAATGTTAACATGAGAACTGAGGGTAGAAAATACCCAAAACCAAATGAGTGGACATCAGGGAAAGCCATCAGCATATTGCAGGAGACATTCAATTTCACTTGCCTGGACATTTCTCCCAAGGCTGGAAAGCACATTATTCAGAGAGAGGGGGTGCCACGTAATGATAATGGAGCAAAAGGAGGTTTCTGTACTTCTCATTAATGTTTCAAGAAAAATCAGCAGCATACCTGTTACCATTTTGAACTCTCCCCAGGGTTCAAAGGTTAATCTTGGGTTCAAGTGTCCTGTCTACATATCAGAGGGTTCTTGAGGCTCACCAACTGGCAGTGACTTTTTGATCCTTGTACAGGTTGTTTTTTTTTTTTTTTTATAAAATCAATCATTTCTTTTTCCCTTTTAATTGCTTGTGTGTGTGTGTGTAGGTGCCCATGTACATACTAGTATGTACATGTAGAGGTCAGAGGACACGGATGTCATCTTCAGGTACACCATCCACTCCCTTTGAGGCAGGGTTTCTCATTGGTTTAGATCACCAGCTAACCCCTTAGTCCCTGGTGTCTGCCTGTCTTCCACTCTCCAGTAGTAGGATTGAACACACTTGCCATCATGCCTGGCATTTTTGCATGGGTTTTGGGATCAAACTCAGTTCCCTGTCTTTATCAAACAAGCCATATCCTCCTCAGACCTGGATTTGTTTCTTAAATAGAATGTGTCTTCTTAAAATGGGTCTCCCCGATGTGATTTTGTGAGTGCTGAAAAAAATTAAGACTGCTTGCTTTGTAGTTGAAACATTAAAATGTTTTTAGAGCAGGTACTCAGGTACCAACTCCAGGCTATCAGAAGTTTTTAACCAAGTCATACCCTCAATGTGGTCCAACCTAGAATCCCTAGACATGTGAATTGAGAGGGACTTGAGGTAAAAGAAGGCCCCTGGGGCTTCTGTGTGTTGGCATACTTGTTTCATTTTGTCACCCTTTTAGGTATTATTATAGATGCCTGCTTAGGTGCCCTAGGTGTCTGTGCCCTTTCCTTGTCACACCAGCATGGAATTGGTGTTGGATTTTAGAGAACTCCATGATTGAATCCATTTGAGACAGCAGATAGTATGTAGTAACTTTTTTAAAACTTAAACAATCTATGTTCATATCTTAGCTCTACCACTTGTCAATCACATGACTTTGGGCAACTGCATCTCTTTATACCTTGACTCTCGTCGGTGCAAAGGAGTAATGAGGATATCTCATGAGGTGGCCTGCAGCTTTTAGGAACCAGTAAGTGGAAATGCACTTAATAGAGGTTGGGCACATTACAACCCCCTAGCTTAATAAACTGTCATTCTTATCAAGAACTCAGTGACAAGGTGAACAGTTGTAGAAGTGAAACTTCCCTAGAGTCCCAGACAGCTGGCAATTTTCAGCCCTTCACCAATATGGATGGAACAAGTAGGGAAGATGGGATTTCCAGGTTCCAGTCATCCTTGGCCTTGACTGCTTGATTTATAGCATCAGTTTTTTTGGTCATGGGTAACTCTTACAAGCACTGTGGCCATTTTGATCTGACTTGTTTTTTGGTTCGGTGAGACAAAATCCTATAAGTACAAAAATTGTTGTTGGGAGTTAAATCTTAACAGTAGCTTTGCTCTCCTACAGACAGTGTTTTTTAGAGAATTCTCAGCCTGTCCCTGGTCCCTTGACCTGTTATGCTTTGTCTGATATTCCACTCCCCTGGTTAGCTTTTCCAGAGGCAAATTCCTGGAGGTTGTGCCAAGTTCTATGTACAGAACATCAAAGCAGAACCTCACAATAACCATTCTAGGTACATAAACATGTTCATTCACCATAAGACAATCAGAGGTTGGATGGGTTAGGTAACTTAGGATCATTCAGATTCAATGTGGTCTTCTTGGATTTGAATATCCCTGTGCTTGGTTCTGCTACATGCTGGCTCTTGATGACCCTGGGAGGTCTATGACAATAAATGCACAGAAAGTTCTTGACCATTGCTCTTCTACACAAGGTAGAGGAGAAGATGAAGGATTTACATAACAGCACAACATAAAGCTAGACTTGGCTATTTTTTCCCCAAATACATTGCAGGCAGAGAACTGAACATATGCCATGTGGGAGCCTGTAGAGGCAGACCTTCAGATGTCTACAATTAAGGAGGATTTGGCTAAACTTGCCCAGAGGCCAAGATTTAAACATATATGGACAACCTTATCCTTTGCTCAGTGAAATTTCCCAACAGTGGCATTGTTAATATAAAATAAATCCCAAGTAGATAAAATTATGCAATGTCAGTAAAATCCCAATCACTTAGTCACTGCTCTAATTTTAATCCCACAGTGTGCACTGGGAGGTAAGCCTGGCTGCTGTCAAGGCCAAGAATGAAAGAACATGAAGCCATCATTGCTTGGCCAAAGGCTTCATTTAAGGCAAACCCTTTCACCTACAAGTTTTTAAGCACAGGAAGTTGGAAGTCTGGCGTGATATCTGTTAGGACAAGATTCATGTTTGGTACTCTGATATGAAGTAATCTTCCCATTGGGATTAATTTGTAGTACTCATTGTATCACAGGTACCTTTACAGGACTACTGTTTTATTTTATTGATTGTCATTGATAGTAACAATTTCAATAGCTTCCATCTATTGACATGTGATATGTGCCATGTATGATGATGCTCTCTGAACCACACTGATTCTGTGAGTGCTGCCTTCATGGTACAGATGAGGAGACGGAGGTTCTACTCTAGTATATACAACACAAGGTGTTTGTAAAGGTCAGATAAATCAACATGCAAAGGCAGCCCAAGAGTATATATCCAATTAGAGCAGATGCAGTGTGACCCACATTTAGGTGGTCTGGGTTCAAATTCTACTTCACCACTTAAAGACATGATCTTGGGCAAGTTTCTTTTTTCTTTCTTCATGGTTTATTTTCACTACCTGAGATATACAGATGCCATTACCCATTTTTTTAAAGCCACTTAAAAGGCCACAAATTAGGATCTTCGGTAAACAGAAGGATATATCTAAATTTGAGGACTTGAACTGTAGCCATTACTAGATGGCTAGAGTCTCTGTGCCTCAGGTTCCCAATCTGCCAGATGAGATGGCTTCACATGGAATTATTTATATTTCCAAATTGTATGTTAAATCTGGTGAGGTTTTATTTTCTTTGTTTTCTTACTTAGATTTTCAGCCAAGCTTTGATGCGTATGGAATGTTCATTAAAATCTTCTGGAATGGCTATTATGAAATTAAAGGAACTGGTAACCCGACAAAAATAGTTCCACGTTGGCTAAAAGGCTCCCAGATAGACAAAAGAGGCACAACTCTGTAGTGGCAGTTCTTCTGGACTGTCAACCCACAAAACACCAAGAATTCCAATTTCCAACACCTGAGTATGACCTTTCAATGGAGAAATCAGGTACAAATGAGCATCCCCCCTGTAACCTCCCCTTAAGAGTAGCACCTAAAGCGATCCTAAGACCGCCAAAGATCTCCTAGAGAATGAGCTGTAGGCCAAACAGACACCAGCTGTCACCAGAATTCCTGAAGTAGAGAGGACCTTGTGAAGGGTTTAAAGGGAGGAAAGCCTGCTACAGGAATCTGAACACAGAGGATATGGCTTCTTCTTCATGTGCAAGGGAGACAAGACCAACACAACCATTACTCTTCCTCTGAGTTAGAGCCACAAAGGAAAAGGGGTAGGGAATAGAAAGAGGTTTCCTAAGGGGTCAACATGTGACTCTTGTCTACAGCATCCATACCCTGAAAGTGAGGTTTCATGTAAACACCTTTAGCCTGGTGTAATTGTTCTGTGAAATGGGGACAAAGGCCATCCTTCCTTTTCAGATTGCTGGGAATGTCTGGGGTGAGATATGAAGAATGCCACCACAGGGGCACCACAAGACTGGAGTTGTCCTCATTAAAGAAGCTGAAAGTTATTTCCATGTCAACCTAATCTCTTCTCAAAATGAATCAGTGGGGTTGTGTCTTTGAGATTTTCTTTTGTCTGCAGGTACACTGATTATACAAAATGTGATCCACCTATCCCTTGTATTTGCCAATCTCATAGAAACTGAGAGAGAAAGGGAATGCAATTCACACCATCCCAAAGGAATAACTTTAAACATCGTAAAGGGGCAGGCAGTGGTGGTAGGTGACAAGGCTAGGTCTAGGTGGTGAGAAACAGGGTCAACCAGTAAACAGAAAACACCTGTCTTAAAAGACACTAACATTCTAATTATTTTACAGCACATTACAAAGCAAACAGCAAGGCTCCGAGCTGGCACAGTAATTCACAGTCCCCAATTCTGAATGCCTTCCTCATTTGTAGATGAGGACATCAAGACACTGAGAGTGGGAGTGAGACATAAGTGGAACCAGGAGGTAGTTCACTGGCTTTTTGTTGTGTTTGCTACTTTAACTAGAGCCAGAAACTGCCTTCTAATTTAATAGAAGCTCCTAGTCAGAGTAGAAGTGAGAATACTAAAATGACTTCATGGTATACCATTAGCACAACATTGAACAATTTGAAGACTGAAGTCCTCAATGACTCGACCTACAAATAAGGTCCGAGTTCATGGAGAAGCAATGTATCTTAGATGACCTCTAGAGACAGTGTTCTCAATGTTAAAACAACAGGAAACACAGATAGTAAATAAAAGCATTAGTGAGAGCACAACTGTGTGTTACTTATTTACACTAAAATGTTCTATGTCATACTGAGGAATCTCAGTCTTTCATCATGTCTACCATCATGCCTTGAAACATTGAAAAGAGCATATTTTAAACATGAATTTTGCATGTTTATGTGTGCAAACAGTACATGTCTGGAGATGAGAGGACAACTTAAAAGAGGTGGTTGTCTCTCTCCATTATGTGAGGCCTGAGGATTGAAGTCTGGTGGCAAATGCCTTTATCCACTGAGCTAGCTCACCTACCCAGAAGGGAACATATTTTAATGACAGAATAATTGGGCCCAGAATTAGCAAATGTCACCCTAGCCATAGCCATGCTAGCTCATGACTGGTGGTATAGCCTTGGACAAGCCACTATACTGCCAAGCCTGATTTTCCTTGTGTGTTGAATGAGTATACAAATAACTGTTCAAATCATATCTGAGCTCTGATGTGGGTAGGCATGTGTAATATACCACTAGCCTCTTCCATTCCTGTCACAATCTTTTCCATTTGAAGTTTTCCAGCAATTCCTTGACTTTGTCTCACTAGAGCTGAAACTCAAGCAGCTTCCATCAAGTGAAGTTACTATGGAGTGGCAACAAGGAAGATGAATGTTTCTCCATTTCTTCTGCAAGCACTTCACTCACCTTACGGTCACAATCTGCCCTCCATCCAGGATGACACCGTTCATTTGGGCTATGAAGATGGCAGCCACGGCTTCGTAAAGGGCTGTGCCATCCATATTAATGGTTGCTCCAACTGGAAGGACGAACCTCGTCACACGCTTATCAATCCCTAGATTATCTTCCAAACAACGGAAGGTGACAGGCAAAGTTCCAGCACTGGGGGAGAGAGAGAGAGAGAGAGGGGGGGGGGGGGGGGGGGGGGGGGGG